ATCGCTTGCTGATGCACCGGGATCGCAGCGTCAGATGATACTGCAATAAAACTCGCTCTGGAGCCAAAAGCTTTAAAACGTGCATCGCCACGCCACGCCACGCCACCCTCTGGGATTTCTGGCCGTCTGGTTCTGGGCAGATAAATTTTATTTTTGGACAAAGGGTGAATCACCACTGGCTATCCCCTCAGGCGTTATAATCAGCCTGTTTAGTTCCTTTCTTAAAGTTTAATTTCTATCTCATCGAATGTTTAGACATGTGTATGAAGTATTAAATATAGACTAAAAAATAACTAATTATATAATTTACGACTAATTTACGAGATGAATCTTTTAAGTCTAATTAGTTCATGATTTGATAATGTGGTGCTACAACACATGTGTTAATGACGGATTAATTAGACTTAATAAATTCATCTCGTTGATTATTGACGGATTCTGTAATTTATTTTTTATTAGTATCCGAACACTCCATACGACATTCTATGTAACATCCGATGTGACACCCCAAAATTTTACACCATAGTGGTGCATTCATTTGGTTGGTTTTTTAATTTGATAAAGTTTCATTTGGTCTTTGATTTGTTGTAGAGTGAAAATACTTTTTATTGGTGATCGATAAGCTCGAACAGCCTGTAGATTTAAACAAGGCCTCGCTCGGTTGACTCGGTGCCCAGTTAAAGAGGCACAAACACCCATCGAAGCAAAGCGAAGCAGAAGCAGCCCTCAGATCTGAAAAAAAATGAGATGAAAACAACTAACAATTTGCAGCAAAAGGGCAAAAGATGAGAGGCCCAAGCCAGGAATTTCTCGTGGTTGACGACGGTGAATGAGCGGGTTAATTAACAATTACTAGCGTCAATCGTTCGTACCGCACGAGGGGGGTTTAACGCAGAAAAAGAGGTGGCTGCTGCTGCTAAGCTCGGCTAACGATAGGATAAGGACGGCTCGGGAGGTGACACCTGCCCCCCATGACCTGTGACAAATGCTCACTAGGGTTACTAATTTTAATCACCATGTTTGGCAGTCTCATTGAACCTGGTTAATTAAAATTAGGGCGATGGCCGAAAGCACTGCATCCATCTCATCAGATCAGAGAGAACGCCGACAGACATGACTTTGTACGAGTACGACACAGTATAGTATAATTTCACTACTGAACGTGGAACATACGTCTTGTTTAGTTGACGAAATATTTTGAAAAATAGGGTTACTAGTATTTTCACCATGTTTAGTTTTGAACCTAGTTAATTAAAATTAGGGCGGTCAATCATAGTTTAATTCACAGAAAAGAGAACGCCGACAGACGTGAATTTCGTTTAAACTGTAATTAGTTTTATTTTTCATTTATATTTAACGTTTCATGCATGCATCCAAATATTCGATGTGACGGAAAATATTAAAAAATTTTACAAAATTTTGTGCACTAAACAGGCACGTAACTTCAGAGCCAAAGGCAACATTATTAAAAGGGTTTCAACAACTGGTTCGTGGTCCCGCATGTAAGTGGGGTCCACGCGACGGTGGTGGCCCACTTGATAGAGTATCATGTGCTGTCGCTTTTTTGTCAAAGGGTGGAGAAAAGAAAAGAAAAGGCAAAAGGCCCAAAGGCAAAGCCAGGTCCCTCCGTCGTCCAGTACGATGGTCGGTAGGAGCACGGCCATACACGCGTCGTACCACCGATGTCTCTTGGCGCACAAAACGACAAGAACCACCGATCATGTGTGATGCGTGTCCGTTTCAACGTTTTTACAGCAGCGGTCAAAGATGTACTCCTCCTACTACAATGGTTGGTGGTTGCGGCTGTACGCCTGTACCACTGCCCTATCTATAGCAGTAGAGTAGAGGAACTGCAGTGCAGCAGTTGTAGCACTAGTAAAAGGCAGAGTTGCTCAACCTTTTTTCTTTCCTTGTTGATACACAAGTACTAGTAAAAATTGCTTTCGGTCAAAACAGATCGGCGATACACAAGTACTGGTGCCTACTCCATCCATCTTAAATTATAAGATGTTTAATTTTTTGCCTTAAGTTTGACCATTCGTTTTATTTAAAATATTTATATAAATATAGTCAAATTTAAGTCATTTTTGAAGAATTTTTATTAATAAACCAAACCACGACGAAAGAAATGATATTTTATATAAATTTTTAAATAAAACAAGTAGTTAAACTTAGTTTCAAAAAAGTGTTATAATTTAGAATGGATTGAGCCGTACGTAGTAGTATCCTCGCAAAAAAAAAAGTACGTAGTAAAGTAAAAATTGCTGCAAGGCCAGTGACCGGTTCAACGATGAGAGAGCTAGTACTACTAGGTAAAGAAGTGGTTCACGATACGACACGACTCGTCAATCAAAGGCAGCCCCCATAAAAAAAAATTAATAGTTTCGAATACCGCACTAAAAAGTACTGTTTTTCAATCCATAGTTTTTATGAGTAATAATTATTTTCTCTTTCTTTTTTCCAACTCTATCTTCTTCCTCTAATGGGAGTGTGATACGACACGACCTCCCGATGGTTTCTCCTCAACGACACGATTTGGCTGACCATTTTGGTGCATTGGGTCAAGAGATTACTGATTTCTTCACTGTCGTGAAACCATTTCTATGATTTTGCTCTCTTTCTTCATTAATTACACATAAAACATTTTTTTCTCTCGGTAAGTTATTTAATAAGAATAGAAACCATCATGAATACATCACTGGGACTGCCCTTATAATACGGCTAAAAGCTCATGATGACGACACGTTTCTGGCTGGACCATCTCACTGGAATTATTGGATTACTTTTGAGGTGTCACTAGTCGTGACGCGTGATGATAATAGGGCTAAACCACCGACGGCCTGTTTGCTTGGCAGTAAACGATAGCAAGAGCGTGTTTAGTTCTAGGAAGTTAGTTGAAATTTAGGGCTATTGTAATATTTTCGTTTTTATTTGATAATTAGTATTCAATCATGGATTAATTAGGTTTAAAACGTTTGTCTCGTAATTTCTTACTAAACTGTGAAATTAGTTTTTTTTCGTCTACATTTAATGCTTCATGCATAGACCGCAAATATTCGATGTGATAGGTACTGTAGCATTTTTGAAGAATTTGGGGTGGAACTGAACACGCGCTAAATTTTCAACCAAAACAATATTTTTTTATACCAAACCAGACAGCAATAATAATTTACGATCATATACGATCATTTCGGCCCTAGCCGAACACATTTTCTCTCTCTCGGTTTTGTTATATGTACCCGGTGGGAAACATTTCTCCTGTATTCGATTTTTGTGGTCCTGTTATAAAAAAAGAATCCAGGTGCTTTAGGGGAGTTTCAAATTTAGATTGAAAGCGTTGCAAGAATTGAGTAAAATGTTCATTCCTTGCACTTGGATTTTTAATTACAACGGTTGTATCTAAAAATCAATACTAGGAAAAAAAAAAGATAGAGAGAAAGAAGGAGAGGCCGACAGGCCCCAGAGAGGGTGATTGGTTGCACACAGAGGCCATTCCGAGACCTATCCCAGCACCGCTCGGTGCATTTGGCCGTGTTTGATACCTGTCTCACATCCTTTTCTTGCTCCGTCTCATTTATTTTCACCCCCCGTCTCGCATGGATCCGTCTTCTCGATTCCCACTTCCTTTGTGATACAGGACGACACGATACACCCATGATACAGAAGCCCATGTGTCATACACTTAAAACTTCCATCCATACAGGCAACCAAGCAAAATTTCATCTTGGACCACAACAAAAACAATCAGACGTGACCACGATTTAAACATGCATCCCATCGTCCTGAACCGGCTCTCCGGTCACCGAAGCAACCAATCACCGAGGTGGTGAGACGTGGAGACGCCAGCGCAGTCGCCCGTTGCCCTTTCATGCATCGCGTCCCCCTCCCAGCGCGGCAGTCCACACATTAACACACCACCACCGCGCGCCCCGCGCACGAAACCCCACCACACCAGCCAGACTTGGGAAGCGGCCCCACCCGGCCGGCGCAAGTCTTGAGCGAGCAGCAGTGTGCCGCCGAAGCCTCCTGCTCCTTCTTCCCCTTGCCCCTCTCCTTAAGCAGCAGCAGACCCCCGTGGCCAAGGCGAAGAGAGCCGCCGCGCGCGCGCCCCGCCCACACACCCGAGAGAGCCAGCACACCGATCCGCGCCCGGTCGACGAGGTACGCCGCTGCTCATCCTCGTCTTCCACAGATTGCTTCTGCTCTTCCCTGGCATGTGCTTGCTTGTACGCGGCTGCTTGCGCTGGGGCCTGCGTTCTCGGGTTAGTTCATAGCTGGGCGGCTGGGCCTGGGGATTTGATTGCTTCTGTCGCGGATTAGCGAGACTTGTGTAGTGTAGGCGATTGATTTGTTTTGCTCATATGGTTTTTTGGTTGGGATGTAATGCCGCCTTCCTCTGGTGGAGCTATTGAGTTTGATTTCTGCATTCCAAGCTCTTCTCATTGAGGCGGCCTGTTTGTTCTGGAATGTTGGGGACGAATTCGTCGATGGGGATCATATTAATGGATTTGGGAAGGAACCGACTCTGTGCCATGGTGATTTTGCTGGTGCTGTTGCACTCAATGACAAGAGTTTTATGTGATGAGTGTTCCTTTTTCGGTCCCTGGTCTTGTTCGGACCAATGACTTCCTCAAGTGAGTCTTCCTTTTGCTGATTTCATCTTGCTCTTTGGACCTGCAACAAAATCACGTTTTCTTTGAATCGCTTGCCTGTACGTTTTTTTTTTCTTCTGCGCTTTTTTTGATGCGCGCATAGACAATCATTACCCCTTTCTCTTTTTTCTGCAACTTTGACTTGATGACAGAGAAGCAAAAGCTCAATTTCAGTCCATCTTTTCTGTGCTCCCCAATACGAATTGATCCATCCATCTTATTACAATGATGTAACTGAACCAACCGACAAACGTGGTGACCCTTTTCAGGGGCATCCTGCTCTCGTCCTCATCAGCGCTTGGGAGAACGGCAACGGTTACCGCTCGACCGCCAGGCGCCAGCCAAGCCATGGTGGAATCCAGTGGCCACCGGAGCACCACCGCCCTCGTGGCCGGCGGGTTCTTCCGCGTCCCGGGCCTGTTCGTGAGGCTGAGCAGCAGCAAGGGAGGGGTGAGCAATGCCGTGAACGCCGACTCGGTCTGGAGCCCGACCTCCCCTCTGGACTTCAAGAGCCTCAGGTCCAGCCCGCCGAGGGTCTGCCTCGGCCTCGTCGACGCCCTCACCGCCGACGACGAGACCGGTTCCATGCAGTTCGGGGCCAGGGGCTCGTTCCTCGACTCCATCAAGCCGTTCCTCGATCTGGCGCTGCTCAAGGCGGCGGTGTGCGGGAACAAGGCTGCTGCTGCCCCTGCCTCGTCGGCCGGCGTCGCCGCCGCAAGCCTGGATGAGGCGAACGAGTACGCCGACTGTGAGGAGTACACTTGCGTCATCTCGCGCGGGGCCAACCCGAGGACCACGCACATCCTCGCCGGCGAGACGGTGGAGGCGGTGCGCAAGCAGGGCGATGTAGGTGGCTGCAGGAAGGTGATTTTCAGCATCGAGTCACTGAGCGACCAGCAGCCGTCCACGTCCTCGTCGCCGGCGGCAACCGCTAGCGTTAGCGTCGCGTCCGGCCGTTGCTGCTGCTGCATGAAGAGGCTGCAGGAAGACATGGACATCTTCATCTACCTGTGAGTGTGAGCTAGTTTTCATCAACATTTTACTTCTCGGTAGCGCTTGTACGCGGTATGTTCAGTTGTTGATTTTTGGCGGAACGTCTCGTGGGTTCTGCAGGGGAGAGAAGGCTTTCTGCAGCAGCGAGTGCAGGAAGGGGTACATCGAGGAGGCGGCGGAGGAGGACCTCATGATGATTCTGGATCCTGCTCTAAATCTTTGATCAAGATTTGTTTGATGGCTGATGCCGTGGCAAAGTAGTAGTAGTATAATATTGCCCGCAACATGTTTCTTCTGAATTCAACTTAGGGACTACTGGGAGAGTGAGGAGGAAAAAACAAAGGAAGGAAAGAATGGAAATGCCTCTCGTTCAAGTTTTTGCTGAAAGGAGAGGTCGGTCCCGGTTTGGCCAGTCAGTGCAACGGCCGAGCCAATTTTCGTGATTTGTTGAGCTCCATTTTGGCTGCTGTCAAACTAGTAGCTCTTCGCCATCAATATATTTACTGTTTTGTTAAAGGCCAGTTTGTGCCTTTTGTTCTCCATTTTTCATTTTTATATTACTGCATTTTTTTATTATTACTGATAAAAATACTCCTATGTTCGTCATAGCACTCGTTTTACCATACGATTTCTCATCATCATGCCTGCTGCTTTGCTGTACTCCGTTAGAGAGGAAGGTCTTTGGTCGGACCCTTTTTAAATATAATTTAAGGCTTTAGTACAACTCAAGGCCTCGGGGCTAAAAACGTCTCTACCAGATTCAAAATAAGTGACCATTTCTCTTATAACTAGGAAAATAAAGACGACTATCTTTTTTCTCTATAATAACTAGGAATAGACAGTATTGAAGATTAAAAAAAAAAAGGCGTCAATAACCTTTCTTCTAAACTCCAACATATCTCAAATTTCAATTATGTTCCAAGAGTTTCTAATAAAACCATCCGATCTAGGATTTTTTTGTAAAAATAGAAAAAAAACTCATCTCTAAGAGTTCCCAATCTTATCTTGTCGGGATCAATACTAAGGTACCCGAAGAAGAGGAGCTAATGACCGTCAACATTGATTCATCCGAGCACTCAAGAGCGCGACTACAACTCCAACCAACCCCAGGTGAGCGGGCTCCGCCTCGTCCGATCCCGAGGCCGCGGGCTCCGCCTCGCTCGATCCTTGGGTTTGTGCTCCGCTTCGCCCAACCCCTTGGGTGCGGGCTCTGTCTCGCTCGACGGGGACTCATACCGCCGTCAACCACTCCAGGTCCAAGCGTATGGGCCTAGGTCAAAACTCTGACACCAACGAATAGACCGGCAGGCTCCGATGTAACACGTGGCCATGACAGGCCATACCTGAGGATTCACATCAAGAACAGCGTCGGGCGTGCCGGTGTTGTTCTGCCTAACCCTCGTACGAACGCTGACAGGCGCGTCAGTTCACCACGACGCCCGCCGGGACGGAATGGGACGCCATGACCGGCAGACGACGCCTGCGCATGGCGTCAGTGACGAACAGGACCGCGACGTGGAGCCGTCCCTGTTGACGTCTACAGAATCAGCGGGGCCCGCATAAAGGAGGACCCGGCGGTCCTGTCAGCCTTCTTCTCTCTATCTCATTCTTCTCATTTTCCTCCGTTGTAACTCGCGCTTTCCCTCAGCCGATAAAAGAAAAAACAGGGCACCCCATGAAGGGGATCAACCCATCGAGACCCGATCGGATCTAGATCCGCACGAGCACGACATGAGCACACGACTGAGCAGTGATCGAGCTCTCAGCACCCGTTCACTCCTTCCACCAGAGACTTGGGATCATTTCCCTCTCTCGTCTGTTTGTAACCCCTACTATAAACTTTTAGTGCTAGTAACACGAGCAGCACCGACGAACTGGACGTAGGGACTTTCTGCCCAAACCAGTATAAACCTCGTGTCCTCTAAAGCACACAATCCGACCCAGATGCGCAATACTAGAAATTTACTCGTCGGTGGAAACTCGAAACACCGACAGTTGGTGCGCCAGGTAGTGGCCTTTTGCGCGTCTCGACGTCCACACCAGATCTCGGATGGTTAGTCACGGTGTCAGCTGGGTCCCAGGCGCACAAGTGCGCTTCGGGAACCTGGACTTCATCATCACAACGGAGGGAGAGTTGGCGCAGGCTCCCATCGTCGCCCAACCTCACCTTCTTGTTCGCCAATGTCATGTCACAGCTTGCTGGAGGAGAGCCGCTCTCCCCAGAATACCTCATTCGGAGCGCCCCGACAGTTTGCGGTCTGGGGGCTCGATATGGTCGGACCTCTCAAGAGGGCGCCCGATGGCTATATGCACTTGCTTGTTGTCGTAGACAAGTTTACAAAGTGGATAGAGGCTCGGCCGATCTTCGCGATCAAGTCCGAGCAAGCCGTGTTATTCTTCCTTGACATCGTCCATCGCTTTGGGGTCCCAAACTCCATCATCACGGACAACGGCACGTAGTTCACCGGAAAGAAGTTCCTCTGATTCTGCGATGAATACCACATCTGCATTGATTGGGCCGCTATGGCGCACCCCCGCACGAACGGGCAGGTTGCGCGTGCAAACGGCATGGTCCTACAAGGCCTCAAGCCTAGGATCTTCAACCGGTTGAACAAGTTCGGCGGACGATGAGTTGTGGAGCTTCTCGTGGTGCTCTGGAGCATGAGGATGACCCCCCAGCCGGGCCACCGGCTACACACCATTCTTTATGGTCTACGGTTCTGAGGCTATCCTCCTGACTGACCTCGATTATGGAGCGTCGAGGGTTAGGGCGTATGACGAACAGGGAGCCAAGAAGTCCCTCGAAGATGCCATGGACCAGCTAGATGAAGCGCGCAACGTCGCCCTCCTTCGCTCGGTCAAGTACCAGCAAGCACTGTGCCGGTACCACAGCCGTCGAGTGCGGGGTCAGGCCTTCAACGTCAGAGACCTGGTGCTCTGCCTCATCCAGAGAAACAAGAACCACCACAAACTCTCTCCACCGTGGGAGGGACCGTACGTCGTCGCAGAGGTACTCCGACCAGGCACCTACAAGCTCAAGACCATCGACGGCAAAATCTTTGTCAATGCCTGGAACATCGAACAGCTACATCGCTTTTACCCTTAATTTACGCACACTTTCTCTTATCAGTTTCGCTATCAGCTCCTTAATCTTTAAGTGACACCCAACCCCAGCAACGGTAGGGGATCGGGCCTCACTCGAGGGCTGATAAGAGCATATGTATCCGATAGACATTCTCTACGCCCGACCCTTTCTCACGTTAAGACCCAGAAGCGAGGGTTGCAGAAACAGACGCTGAGTAAAATTGGTCGGGCTGCAAGAAACCTACGCCCCAATGGCTACGATGTTTTTGCTCACCAGCGTGATCAGAGTTTTTTTCCGCACCCTAAGTTTTTTAGCCTTAACTACAGAAAGAGTCAGTACACGTCTAAGAGTATATCCACCTAGCAAACATTCTCTGTACTCGACCCTCTCTCACGTTAAGACCCAGAAGCGAGGATTGCGGAAACAGACGCTGAGTAAAACTGGTCGGACTGCAAGAAACCTACGGCCCAGCGGCTATAGGGTTTTTGCTCACCAGCATGATCATAATTTGTTCACCCGCACCTCGAGCTTTACAACCTTAACAACGGAAAGGATCGGAACGCATTAACCTTTTTATACAAAAAGAGGAGAAGGGCTAAAAATCTATTTGTCCATAACTAAATTTAAGAGCTTGTCCACTTATTACGAGTTCACCGCCTGGCTTATCTGCCTAACTAATTTCTTGAGGAGGATGATCTCATCCTCTATCTTCGTAGGAAAGTCCTGTGCCAGCGGGTCACCCAAGTTGGTCGGATGGCTCGGGCCGCTGCCGAGAGACGGGTAAGGAGCAGTACGATGCCCCATGCGGGTTATGCCGACTTCGTCACGAACGACGGACCCAGATTCCACTCGAACATATCCGGTAAGAGCTCCCCGAACCCGTCACTCGAGCCATCAAGGTAAGTCCTGTGCCAGCGGGTCACCCAAGTCGATCGGATGGCTCGGGTCTGAAAGGTCCTAATATGGCTAGAGGGGGGGGTGAATAGCCTATTTAAAAATCTACAAATCAACTAGAGCAATTTGATTAGTATGACAAATAGTGAAATGCAAACTTGCTCTAGCTCTATAAGGGTTGCAAGCCACCTATCCAATAATTCTAGTTGCAATGATTACTAGGCACACAACTTGCAATGTTACTACTCACTAAGAGCTCTCAATCTTGCTACTCTAAAGAGCTCCACTAGATGAACTTAAAATAACAAAGCCAGCTCTCAATTCTAATTACACTAAAGAGCTTGCCACAACTAGTTTGCAAGAATATAAATGAGTGAGTAGGTTGATTATACCGCCATGTAGAGGAGTGAACCAATCACAATATGAATACTAAATCAATCACCGGGAGAATACCAAAGAGCAAGAGACAACCAATTTTTCTCCCGAGGTTCACGTGCTTGCCGGCACACTAGTCCCCGTTGTGTCGACCAACACTTGGTGGTTTGGAGGCTAAGAGGTGTTGCACGAACCTCGTCCACACAATAGGACACCGCAAGAACCTTCCCACAAGTGAGGTAACTCAATGACACGAGCAATCCACTAGAGTTATCTTTCGGCGCTCCGCTGGGGAAGGCACAAGACCCCTCACAATCACCACAATCGGAGTCGGAGACAATCACCAACCTCCGCTCAACGATCCTTGCTACTCCAAGCCGTCTAGGTGGTGGCAACCACCAAGAGAAATAAGTGAAACCCGCAGCGAAACACGAATACCAAGTGCCCCTAGATGCAACCACTCAAGCAATGCACTTGGATTCTCTCTCAATCTCACAATGATGATGAAACAATGATGGAGATGAGTGGGAGGGCTTTGGCTAAGCTCACAAGGTTGCTATGTTAATGCAAATGGCCAAGAGAGTGAGCTTGAGCCGGCCATGGGGCTTAAATAGAAACCCCCTCGAAATAGAGCCGTTGTACCCCTTCACTGGGCACAATGCGGGGTGACCAGACGCGTCAGTCGTATTGACCGGACGCAGGACCCCCGCGTCCGGTCCTCAGATCTTCGCTACGTGTTCCCTGCTTCAAACGTTGATCGCCTGATCTCAATGGTCAAGTGATGAATGGACGCGTCAGTTAGAAAGTGACCGGACGCTGGACCCCAGCGTCTGGCCATTTTCAGTAAGGTTCCAAACGCGAGATTTCAC